GTTCATTGAGGTGTTGACAGATTTTATATAAATAAGAAATTTAGCAGAATTGACAAAGAAAATCTATTTGAACTTCTTGCATTTTAGTAGTTGAACTTATCAGATTTTACATAAATAAGAAATTTAGCAGAAATGAGAAAGAAAATCTATTTGAACTTCTTGCATTTTAGTAGTTGAACTTGTCAAATTTTACATAAATAAGAAATTTAGCTGAATTGTCAAACAATATCTATTTGAACTTCTTGCATTTTAGTAGTTGAACTTGAAAGTAATATTTAATTCGTTGTTTTAAATTATGTACATTTAACAGATAGGCTATTAATTTCTCTGCTTTTTAGAGTTTCGTTGTTTTTGTATCATGTTGTTTCCTTTTTTTATCATCCGTGGTGCATAGCTAAAATTATTTTTATTTTTATTTTTCGTATTTTAAAGTTGTTGCCTGTGAACTAGTAATTGAACTTTTATATTTTCAGTTTTTGAACATTTCTTGGGTTTAGTCCAGCCTAAATGGCCCATGCTGGCGTTTTGGGGACTGATGGATGTGCGTGTGCTCTGGGTTTAGTCCCACCTCGCTAAGGGAGGAGGCTCACGACCTGTTTATAAGCGCGGCCCAGTCCTACTCGTCGAACTCCTCTGAATACTTACCTGAGTGCTTATACACGGCGCTCGCTCTCTCTCATGACATGTGGGTCCTGGTCGGCTGGCCCTGTGTTGTGCGGATTACTAGGGATTCATCGACGGTTTCACCGTGGGCTCGAGTTCAAGTATCTAGCAGCGTCAGGGCATGGCTATCCTTGGATGGTCAATTTTTACTTTTTTTGGTTTGAATCTAGTATTTGACTCCACCAATAACTTGGACTGATATTTTTTGTTCTAGTTCTGTGGAAGTGTTACTTTTTCATTTGAAGTTTTTTTCCTTGTTTTTGTGTTTGTTTCTGTGATTATTCTCAAGGGTCTTCTGGTATCATTTTCAGCACTATGGTACTTGCGTGTAGACTGGGAATTCAAGTCCAATCAATCTTCGAAAAACTAAGTTGTATTGATAGTCCATTCATATTAGCACTTATCTTCTTAGTCTGACATTTTGTTGGGGGGGGTTACGAACTAATGCTTCTTTGTACTTTTTATTGTAGTAAGTATGTACTGTCCGATCAAGTGTACTAGTACTGTCATTCTTAGTCTGCGAGTGACCAACATAAGTGTGTGCTGATGCTTCTTAACTTTTTGTGTTTGTAGTACTTGTTAATTTTCAGCAGCTACATATGAATGAAAACAGTACATGAAGTACTAAAAATTTCTGCTTCAACTTTTGAAGAGTTGTTAAGAAATTCAAATTGTACTGATTGTTTTCAACATTATGTTTTCTATACAATACTGAATCAAAACTACACATCGAACAACGTTTTGTGATTAGTTGCTTCATAACTAGTACTTTAGAGCAGCCACAAAGTTCCATTGAGAAGCTACTTTGAATTTGAAATGATGGATTAATAAAATACGAAGCTACAATACTTATATAATGAGATAAGCAAAACAATGTACTTGATGACATAAATAAACTTGTTCAACCATGACAAGCATGCCATAATGATACTGGTTCAACCAAAGAAGAGCAAACTACGAATTTGAAACAACAAGATAAAAGTCAAGCACAAGCGGAAGCAAAATGAAGGCAGGCTTTGATGTATCTTCATCCCTAAAGGGGCGGTCGTAGTAGTGGTCAGCCTCTCGCGCTTTTGCAATTTCCCAACCATTTGTGATGTTGTCGATCATGTTCCATGACTTGTACGTGGTCTACGCATCTGTTCCTGCGTACTCGATGAGCTTGTCTTCAACAGTTTGTGGTCTTGCTGCGTGTCGATGTTCTTCTTCATGCCTGGGTGAAATGGGTGGAAGACGTTGGCTGCAACATCAGTCAAGGAGTCGTACTCTTTTCCGGTGTATGGAACTCTCCAGAAGCGCCGAATGTCGATGTACTTATTGTAGTTGATCGTCGGAAGTCCAGACATCTTCATCTTCTCTTTGTCGCCTTAAATGCTGAAACCGGCAAATGTGAACAACTTCTCATGCTTCAGCATCTCGTTGAGGCGCTTGGGCCTGCAAGGGGAGAGAGATTTTGAAGATTAGCATTACTTTGATGTTTGAATTCTTCATTTTTGTTTTTGTTTTACAAGCGATGAATCCGTGAAGTAGATGCTTATATAGCATAATTAATGGATGAATGTACTTCAGAAATTAGTAAACAAAGTTCTAAAATTAAATTCAACTACGTCATGTTAATTTTCTTTTTGGATTATACATAGTTTGAGCCAATGTTGTATGTGCTGCTTTAGTACTAGTTTATTACTTTTGTTGAATAGGACAACACATACATTGCTTCAGCAAGTTCTTACTTTTTTTGCTTATGAAAATAACATGAGACCATATTCAGAAACTACTTCACTACATCAAGTTCAGAAACATCTTTTTAATACATTGAGTACAAAAACTACACTATCGATCAAGATCAGATACTACACTAGTACATCAACTTCAGAAATTAATCTTCTGCAAGATTTTTCAAATAGTAATCCAGTGCATCAGGTTCAAAAATACATTTATGGTGTATCTACTTGAGAAAATGCAGTAGTGCATCCACTTTTACAAACCACACTAGCTAGTACATCTAGTTGGGAAACAAGTTTGATGAAAATTTCAGGATAGAGTACTAATTAAACAGATGAACCAAACAGGGCAAATGAGTAGGATGGGTCACCAATTCGTGGCCGCGGCGATGTGGTACACCAAGCAGAGTTCCTCCATGCACAACTGCAGGACTGCTACCATCTGGGGAGGTTCATCTTCCCTGGTGCAGTGCACACCAAGGCCGATGATCTTACGATGAGAGCCGCCAGCCTTCCTCCAAAGCCTGGAGATCATCTCGTCGCCTTGTCTGGTTTGCTGGTGTAGACGATCTCCAGCGTCTCATTACCGTGGCGCTCAACCCCTGTGATAATTTTGGTGTATGCGCACTTCTTGCCGGGGACGTGAACATCGTCGAGGTTGCAGCTCTTGTCGGACGTCTCACCATGACACTAGGCGGACGGTTCCTCTGCCATTGCCCTCTTCCGGTGACTGTGGGCTTGGAAAAGATAAGTTTCTGGGTTGTCTGTGGTGGAGACGGAAGTAGCAATGGTGGTTCTTGGAATGAGGCAGAGATGGAAGACAATGGGTTATTTCTAAGGCATGGACGGGGATGTGTGGGAGGCGGTTCGTCGGGGACGTGGGTGTAGTGGTCGTGGGGTCGCTTGAGCTCCTCCTAACGGGCCCCGAATGTTGTCCCTTGCCGGTGCCCTTTCTTGGTTGAGCCTTGGCAGCTTCATCCTAAGTTTCAGTTTCCTCGTCCCCGATACTGTCATCTTCATTGTCTTCGTATGATTGATCATCATTCTCGTCAAACTCTTCTTCTTCATCCTCTTCATTTGATTTTTTTGGAACTCTGAACCTTGCCCTGTTTCTGTTTAGCACCATCGACCTCCTTGCCCACTTTGCATGTGCGGGCATTATGTCCATCAGTCCCCCCACACTTGCTACAAGTGTAGCTGCTACGTGTGTCGTCTCCATTGGTAGAGACCTGGGCAGCTCCAATCTGCTTCTGCAGCTTTTGCTTGCTGGCAACGGCATCTGTGTGGGGTGGGCATGTGCGGTAATTATGATTGGTCACCCAATTGCAGAATCCAAATGCCCTTACCCCGAGAGGTTTCCCGTACCAATCGTATTCCATGTGTTTGCTGGGGCGTGGTGACTTTTGGATGCTACTTTTCCTTCTTTCACTGCCTGCATCTTACTCTCCTCCCCTTTGTGCATGAGAATATTGGTGGTTTAATTACTCTTTGCTACTGCTACTGCTGGTAGGATCTCCCATTGTCATGTCGTTCGCCTAGAGCACCGTCAAGTTCATGATCTTGCACATGAGCATGTTGCTGCTCTTGAGTGTGCAAATGGGGAAGCTCTGATTGCTGTTGCTCCTCCTCCTCGTTGTCGTATGGGTCAATATCTCCCATATGGTTCATCTCGGATAAGATTGTAGCGATATCCTTCTCAAGTTTTTCTGCTTCGTTGTCCACGACACCTCCGTTTTCAGAAGAAT